AGACCGAATTTGTTTCTCAGGGTTGTCTGAAAAAACGAAATTGCATGCAGAAGTTTGTCAAAATGGAACGATTGATCTTTCTGTTCTGTTTGTCCAAACGAAATTTTGCACCTCCCTATAAAATAAAAACGCGGGATTTTGTCCGATTTTGTACTTTTTGCTGCAAAAACTAGCTGTCTTTGGACGCCTAGAAAAGAATTAAGGCATAATTTTAGTTTGTTCACTACTTTTTAGCAAAAAAACTTCAAGTATCAAAATCTCAAAATATGCATGTGGTATGCAATAAGCTCGTAATTTGATCAATTTTTTTCAGACAGAGAGAAAAAGAGTAAACGTCTAACCCACCATATTTGATAAAAACTTTTCAAACCTTTTTTAAAATCAACCAAAATATATTGTGCTTGTTCTTAATATTATGCTAACAGAGAAGTACTTGAGACTTTTTTAATATTTTATAAATCAGCAGAATGCTGACAGTTCACTCTATGTGCGATGCTGACAGTTTCTGCCATAGATCAAGGTCAACTTATTAACTTAGAAGTCTTGATAAAACTGCGATTAAAATGCTTCGCCTCGATAGGATTGTAAATTTTTTTCCCTCATTCTTTCTTTCATAATGGACATTCGTTTTATCTTTGCATTAAAAATATTAAACCTGAAAAAGTTCCTGAAAATTTGCTGCAGTTTACTTTTTCTTAATGCGAGTGCCCTAAGATTTGAGAAATTCAATAAAATCCTGCGAAACTTGTGATTTGCAATAAGCAAGACTCATCAAACGAATGTCGTTGAACGCAACACTCTGACGGAGTTCTTTTCTTGAGCAGATATTTTTGTTCAATTTCTTAAATAGAAACAACATCAACTTAAATAAAATAGCTGATGAAACCATAGTAGGCGGTGCTGGATCTATGGTTTATTGGTTATCGATTTTTTTTTCAACTGTTTGTATTTTTACTTTGTGCTAGACCTGAAATGCTTTCTTGAGCGCAGATTTTCAGTCCCAAAATAGCATAACCTGAAAACGTACAAAATATAAGTCGAGCACCCTGATCCAGGAAGTATTTGCAATTGTTTTTTCCTATGTACATCAGAGAAGTGTGATTGAAGAATTGAGTCTGCTCGCTGAGGATGTCATTGCAGAAATCGTACCGGAGGACGGGTGAGTTCCAGACTTTACAAATGTTTTTAAAAATAATAACGTAGAAAACTCAAGACGAACTTTCTACTTTCCCATACAGTTGTTCTCTGTCTAAGCTTAGCCTTGTATGGGAGTAGCTGTAGTTTAGACACCTCACAATCCGGAAGGGGGAGGGGGGTTGATCAGAGCGCGGAAAGGAGCAGAAGCAAAAAGTTTAACATATTAGATTTATGATGTTTTGACCATATACATGAGCATGAAAATTAACAGCATCGTAGATTATGTAAAAAAAAACTCATTGTTCAAATTTTGCCTGATTGTATGTAGTATTTTTCATCAAGGTCATGTTACATCATCCTATACCTCAATAACTAATAGTTTTTTCGACAATAGTTATGTACATACAAGATGTTCAAAATCGAAAACCTATTTATTTGAAAAAATATGCATTTCTCAAGTTTTGCTTCATCCGAGAAAATCGTACTTTTTTTGAGAAAAATTTATTTATTTTATCAAGGATGATCAAGATTGTATGTTATAATATCTGGTTTTCTCTAACTTGGGGTTTTCAGACCTATAAGACAAATATTTTTTTTGAAATTGAGCTATAGAAAAATAACTTTTGCTGTAATCATGAAGAGTTTCGCCATATACAACTATTAGTGTTGTAGTATTAACCTTAGTTATGAAACAATTAAAAACCAATAATTGAAAAAGTGATGAACGCAGTGCGCACATTGACAACTATTTTTCAGTGTGCAAACTCATTAGGCGGTTTTCAATCAAAATTGAAAAAACATTTCTCTGCCTTCAAAAATTTGCACATAGGAAAGTAGTATTGTATCGTGTCCCGGATCCTAAGGGGGGGGGGGGGTCCTTCCTAAGGGGGGGGGCCTTTGGTCCTCAGGTAAAGCAAAATCCTAGGAAAGGGGTCCTTAATTTTTTGGAAGACCCCTATCCTAGGATTTTGTAAATGATCGCAAGTTCCCACCCCTAAAGTAAAAGACCCCCTCCTTAGGATCTTGTTAAGCTGAGCTCAACAACCGGGACGCGATACAATATTTCCTTCTAATTCCTTTTAAAGCGGTCCCTTTTCCCTTGATAATTAAAATTAATCGTCCTAATTCCTGAACTTTTCTTTTTTGTCCTAGTTTCATGTGGATATCATTTCCCGGCTTTCTTTCTTTTCGTTAAAGATTTGTCATGCTATTAAAGTTTGTTATTGAAAACAAGCCTAAGGATTTAACACATTTGTTTGAATTAACACTTGGTTTGCGTCTACTAGTTTATTTGCCTGAAGCTATTTATGTTAAAACAGTGATTGAGCTCAATTCGAGTATTTTATTAGTTGTAAATTGGTAAAAACTAAAACATATACAAAACGAAGTATAAAAAGGACGAACAGTAAAAATCATCTGAAAATATATGTTTCAGACTTTAATGTTTATTGTTTTGGTTTTCTTTGCGCTGTTTTTTAGATGGTCGTTCTTCTGAAGCTTCAGATAAAATAAATGGGTTTTTTATAGGGGAACGTTCACGGACTCGGCTACTAGAAGCTTCTTCTTCTTCTTGCAGCTCTGCTTTTGAGTAGGGCCGCTGTAAAAATCCCCAATCAGGAAGTGTAAAATCGGGAGAACTGTTATCAGTTTCATTGTATGAGTTGGCTCACTCGGTGTCCATGTAAATGTCTTCTAGAAAAGCATTTTCTTCAGCGGCTTTATGGCCAAAGGGCACTGTCGAAATTCCGTCGAAAAGTAGAAAACGTTTTGAGTCGAATGGTGATAATGCAAGTTTGTTTTGTTTCATTGTCATTGGTGTGACCTTTCGAAACTATATTATAGTTGTACACTCTCATTTTTTTTCCAGTGAATAATGTGTCCCTGAAGGTTTGGTGGACCAGTTCTCTCTGTGCACTCCGTTTAATTCCTTTGGCACTCAATTTTGAAAGCCTTCTAAACAGAAGCAAAATTATTATTCTTTTCTACAACGTAGGGGATAGCTTCATTTCACTTCAGCAACTCAATTTATACCAAACAAAATTTGATTCATTTTACCAAAAAAGAGCAGAAGACTCTAAATTAAGATTAAAAAAGAGGAAAAAAAGAGGGAATATGTTGTCAGATAAATCAACGTTTAGGCAACATTGTATAATGTTGCCTAAATCAGCTAAATGCCCATAGTTTAATGCAACAAATTAAGGGGTGTAGGTAGGTTGGTGGTGGTATTTTTGTTCTGTAAAAGGTAGGAATGGGGGGTGGAAGGGTGGCTTAAATTTTATTTACCATTAAGGACGACCGAATATAGTTTCGGTTTTAGGGCGATGAATTCTCTGATCGGCTTGCCACCAGTCTCGTCTTTGAACTTCAGCACAACTTTCTTGTTGGTATCCTCGAACAAGAAATGGTCCTTATCGTAATTTGAAAAGTCGAAATCAGCTTTTATTTTCTCCAAGTCTCGGTAAACGTCATCAGTTTTTATAGCGTAAATAAAACTATCCGTGTCGGAGTAAAGGAGTTCCAAGTTTAGATTTGGTTTCATTTTTTGATAATGAAACTGAAACATGAAACGCTTGGCGAGGTCTAGGATGGTCGCACCAACTATCATAGGTTCATCCCACAATATTTTTGTTACTGAAAAGCTAATTGTGGCTAATTGATCGTCAATGATTTGAAAGCTTTTCATTGTGCTCAGAGCTGTTTTTTGTAAAACTTCTCTCTCATTCCTTACAATCTCCAGCTTCTTTCTTCCTAACTTAGACTCCATTGTCTTACCGAAAGCTGAATTAACAATTAGCTTGTAGAACTTCTCCTGGAAATTATTTACCGCGGCTTTTCGTAGGCGGGTGTTGAGGTCGACAAAGGGTGCCATCCAGTGACTTTGGCGGAACTGAAGAACTTTTCCGAGGTGAGTTATTTTCATTCCCAGCT